TTAAAGCGAAATCATAACAAGAGTCAAAGTGAGAGTCAAAGCGAAAGTCAAAGTCAAGGCAAAGACCAAAATAGAAAACAAAGTTCTAAGGTTTATCATCATCAAGCATGATAAACATAACTTTACAGGCAATCAGTTTTCGAAGTTATATGCAAGCCAGCAAAAAAATCCGGCTATCATTTTTTTTTGGGCGACGCTATGTAAGTCTTGTGGCTTAGTCGCTTAGTATAGCTCGAAGATCGGACAGGCCCTTACTTGTAATAATTTTTGATTTTGGGCCCTCATCTGTAATTATTTTGCTTTTTGGGTGTAAATTCCCCCTTGATTTATTGTACCTCTAAGTTAAACTTAAACGTTAATTTCCGAATTACTTCGTGGATTACCGAATTACTTGAAAATTTATTAATTTTTAGTCTTACCCCCTAAGAATTCATATTTATAGCTCAGAATTCAACCTTTTGACAGAAAATCGTTACTTTAATAAGACCACATTTTCAAAAATCAGCTATTCATAATAAAGCCCGTTATCGATCATCGATTCTAAAACGATTTAGGTTTTCGACCATCGATTCTGATTTTTAGAATTGATTTTAACCCTTAATCTGGAACAAGAAATTATATGATGAAGAAATTAATGAATGATGCACTCTATATCTCGAAATAACTTTTTTACAGGGAGATCCAAAATTCCATCTTGGTATTGGGCATTCCCAGCAGATTACACCTATTACTGTATTACTTTGACATTTTACTTAGTGAATGAGCAAGTAAAATTTTGCCTGCAAAGTAATTCTTGCACATTGCAATATTAATTATTTTTTTGATTGCGTTTGTGTTTATAAAGCCAGTCAATACAAACTCAAATTTATTATAAATTAGCCATTTTCATAAAAATAATCACAATCGCAAAAAAAATTAATTCACACAATTTAACTAAGCGTAATAAATAAATCTGTGTTTCAATTCTAGTGATCCGAATTGTTTTGTTGACAACTTTCATAACGATATATTTAAAGTTTGGCTAATCGACAAAGTTAGGCACATGATATGGAAAACGATTACCGTAGTTCTGTAGTGCAATCATAGTTGGTAATCAATTGGCAAAATTATTACCAACTAGGAACACCATTTAATTCTGAAGAATATAGTAATACTGTATACATAATTTGCAGGATATAACATTGCCGAAATTCTTAAGAACTCTAAAATTCGGATCAGCCGGTCCGCATTAATATTATATAATTTAGTCAAATATCATAGATAACCGATATGTCATTAGCAAAATTTTGAAAGATCTCTTACAAAATTATTATAGCTATTCTCATACAAAATCATTATAGATGGATCGATAATCTTCTGATTTCAGCTGACATTAGTAACTTATTGATTCAAACTCTATAACTTATCTAGAATTTATGAAAACAGTTGCTGAAATTTTAGTTGCGAAACTATTCTGTTTCCCATGCTGATCCTACTCAAACACTATAAGGGTGAATACACAACAAAACAATGCTTAGAGTATAAATACACTGGTTTTGTTGTGTACTCACTTATATATGAATTTCAAAATTTTTGCTCATACATTATCCAGTTATTTATTTTAATTTTTTTTACACACCCACCGCTTAATTCGATAGTTCTTTAAAAATTAAATATGATAGTTATTTCATATTTCACTAAAATTATTTCCCTATTTATTATTTGTTCAATTACTTTGGTTGAATCGTTCAACTGTCCATTAACTCCAAATCCTCATGAAGCCCTTCAAACCTTCATTATTCATCTCTCCCCAACGGCCTCAAGAGATGTAATAAATAATCACTTTGCAATGTTAACATCTTGTTTTAATAAAAAAATTAGCAGTGATTTAACTATTCAATCAAGTAATCCTAGCATTATTAGAGATGTCAGTTTTGGATCGTTCAATTGTTACATTGGAAAGTTTGATCCTAGTGATGCTGCTAGATTGGCTAATTTACCTGAGGTTCTTAATATAGAACGTGACAGAGCATTTAGAATTAATGCAGTTCTAGCCTCTGGCCCTCCAACAACAAACGCTCCTGTGGTTCCTTCTAAAACGCCTATCGTAACTTTTATTCTTACTCAATTTCTTTGTTCTAATTTAAAATAACCCAAATAAACAACGTTAATAATTCTTTATCTAAATTTTTTAGAATCTGGATCGTATTGACCAACCACACCGTCCATTGAATGGAAAATATACTTTTCCTAAAAGTGCTGGATCTAAAGTAAATGTTTATATTATTGATACGTAAGTTATCAATTACCGCACTAATTAAAATAAAATATATATATATATAACAATAATTATTGATTTATAATTAAATGCTATTCCTATAACGATATACAGAGGTATTAATGTAAATCATACAGAATTTGGAGGACGGGCAACACTTGGTCCTGTTTTCTGTAAAGGATGTCCGAATAAAGATGATTTGGGGTATCCATTTTTGATTTCTACAATTTTTAAATAATTTTAAAATAATTTAGTCATTTTTCTAAAATGCTTTTTTTTAAAAAAATAAAAAGTCACGGAACAACTGTCGCAGGGATTGTGAGTATTATAAATTTTATATGCAAACCTTAGTATCATGATGATCAAAATTATAATGTCCTTTCGGTTTTGATCTTATGATTTTACATATTGCTATCTAATACTTATCTTTATAATGTTCTAACAAAATTAAATCATATTAATAGGTTGGAGGTGATAAAAGTTATCAGTAAAATATTATTTGTAAAAGTTTTTTAATGCTCGACTCTAAAATTTGAAATTATTTCAGGAAAAATATATGGTGTAGCAAAAGAAGTGTCTCTAATTTCCGTTAAGGTTTGCAAAATTCACGATGGATGTGATCTCAGTGCCATTATTGCAGCGTTAAGCTATGTAGGAAAGCAACATATGAAAAGTTCTAACAAGAATACAGTGATTAAGTAATATTTTATCTACACTATCATTTTTATAAAAACTTAAATTAACCTATTTTATAGTATGTCTATAGCTGGCCCTAAGTCAGACGTTTTGAATAATGCAACTGAAGAAGTAGGTAAAAAGGGTGTTCATGTTGTTGTCGGTGCGGGAAATTTCGGAATAGATGCTTGTGAAGTCTCACCAGCATCAGCACTTAATGCCATAACAGTTGGAGCTACTGATACTGATACTGATAATGATAATATCGCAAGCTTTTCAAACATTGGAAAATGTGTTAATATCTTTGCACCAGGTAACAACTTAAATCTTGCATTACGGCGAACTTGTGGAATTGATTTTTTATTAAATAGCCGATTCCACAAATCAGTCATGATGAATAATAAATACTTTCATATATACAATAATGGATTGTTATTTTATAATTAGGCACGGATATCACTGCAGCTGGTAATAAGTCTCCTACTGACTTATTAACAGCTTCAGGAACCAGTCTATCATCCCCACACGGTTTGTG